CCTCACTTAACATGGTTTCTCCCCAACCTATCTAAAATTTGAGCTCACCTTTTGTGGTATTTGATGCCAAAGGGGGAGAAGTAATTCACAAAGATAGTAAGATAGGCGGAGCAAACAAATGAGATGCCAAAGTAAGAGGTCAATTAAAATTTGAAGCACACAAGTAGGGGAAGCAAGCTCATAAACTTATATGTTGTATTTGTATGTGCATTATATATGTTTGCTTGCATGGCACAAGTTTTTAAATTCCCTATCCATGATTGTGTGGTGTATGCTAGATTATAGAAAATGATTGATGAAATGAAAAACTAGCATGCATAGGATAGCTAGATATACCTTGATCTTTTACAAGTGGTACTAGAGCCTTGTTTATAATGTTGATCTCATGAGGTATCTATTTCTTTATTGTATTTCAAGTGGTATCTAGCAAACCATGGTGCTAAGGATGGTGTTCAAATGGCAACTCTGATTGGTATCACGCTTCAAAGGTCCATTCTTTATACCTTAGCATCATTTGGTAGATATTACTTCCTCACACTTTCCTATCCATGCATATGTGCATGCTTTCAAATCCAAACTCTTAGCACATATGTAGGGGGAGCTAATGCTACAAATTTGGGTTTATGAAACTTGTCCATATCCTTTACACATGGTAAAATGCTTGGGCAAGCAACATGAATCCAAAACGATTTCATTGAATATCTTTGTGAAAAGGTTGTCATGAATTACCAAAAAGGGGAGATTGAAAGCCCTAGTTTGGTTTTGGATAATTGATAAAACCTTGGGACTAATCCTTGTGCTAAGTGTGTAGACATGAAAGAATGGTCCCATGCCAAGTGGTGGAGCAAGAGGATGATCATGGTGGATGGTGATGATCAAAAGATGATCGAGTGCTCAACTTGGAAAAGAAAAAAGAGAAAAACAAAACCCTATAGAGATCAAGGCAAAGGTATTGGTTAGGGTTTTGGTCTTGGTGATCAAGACACTATAGAGAGTATGATCACACTTAGAATAGATATCCGTACTATAAAGAGAGGAAATCTTTGGCTAAGCGGTTATCGAGTGCCACTAGGTGACATGACTCTTGCATATACATTTAGGAACCTAGTGTGCTAACATTGACCCTTGTAAAATGCTTTAAAAATGCTAACACACGAGCATACAAGTTCTACAGTTTGTGGTTAGCAAGTTGGAAGCAAGGGCGAAGTGGTTATGGACTTAGAAAAAGAAAAGGAGGAGTTGGGGTAGGACTGGACGCAGGCTTCGGGATAGACCTGTGCGTCCGGTGCCTAACCCTAGGTCTTGGTCAGCCCTCTTAGCTTGACCGGACGTTGAGATTAGACTCGGGCGCCGAGTCAGGTCAGTTGGCGCAGAGAGGGCAATGCTCGGCTTCACGACCGGACTCTGCTGGGGACACATGACCGGACGCGCAGGGGGTGCGTCAGGTCATGGCTAACGTACGCTGACGCCAGCGCTGTGTGTGAGTGCCTATGAGGATTGGACACTGGGTGCGTCAGGTTGACGTTGATCGGACGTGTCCGGTCAGTAAAAATTGTCTCTGGACCCTTACTGGACTCGATCGGACTCTTCGTTGCCCTAAGTCCGGTCACTTTGAGCAGTGCGTCCGGTCTGACTTTAACTTCGCGAGCGAATCATTTTGGCCGTTGAGATCGGGTGGCGCACGTTGAATGGAGGTGACACGTGGATGGCGATGGTTGACCTAACGCTGGGGGTGTGCGTCCGGTCAGCTCGAGAAAACAGGCAGTGGGGATCCAACATCTCTTTCATAGTTGGCTCCCTATTTAAGTGTTTGGCCAGCCCTAGGCTCACTCTCTTGGCACTTTGACATACTTGACATCCTTGTGAGCCTAAGCAAACACCTCCCACTCATCTCCATCATTGATTCATCGTCATAGTGAGATTAGGAGTGATTTCAAGTGCATTTGCTTGAGTGATTGCATCTAGTGGCACTTGGGGATCGTTGTGGCTGCGGATTTCTTGTTACTCTTGGTGGTTGCCGCCACCTAGACGACTTGGAGCAGTGGAGGAGCTTCGGCACGTGTTGGTGATTATTCGTGGCTGGCTCCGATGATTGTGAGGGGTCTTGTACCTTTCCCAGTGAAGAGCCAAAATGTATCTCTAGTGGATTGCTCGTGTCATTGAGTTACCTTATTTGTGGGTAGGTTCTTACAGTGTTCATTTGTTGGACGAGGTTCGTGCAACACCTCTTAGCTGCCAAACCACCAAGTGTTGGTCGACACAACGGGGACTAGCGTGTCGACAAGCACGTGAACCTCGGGAGAAAAAATCGTGTCATTCTTATGATTGGATTTCTCCCGGTGATTGGTTGTCTTTATATTGTGATTGATTCATTCCTCGACACGACGGTATAATCACCCTACTCACTCCTTTATATTCTTATAAACAAGTTGTCAAGCTCTTTAGTGTAGTTAGTCTTTGAGAGCTTGTCAGTTTGGTTAGTGTGGCTCTTTAGTTAGTCTTTGAGAGCACACTAGCTTAGTGAGTAGTGACTTAGCTCTTATGTGTACCTAGTGATCATAGCAACTAGAATTGTTGGAATAGGTGGCTTGCAACCCTTGTAGAGCTAGAGCAAAATTGCATTACGCCGTTTGTTGTACTAATCAATTGCTCTAGTGCTTTGTAGAATTTTTAAATAGGCTATTCACCCCCTCCCTCTAGCCATATTAGGACCTTTCACTAAGTTAGACTCATCTAATTTTGACCATAATTATAGAAAAAATATATTAATATATACAATATACAATATCAAACAAATACACTATAAAATGTATTTTATAGTGTATCTAACAAATATAGTTTAGTGTTGTAGATGTTTGTGCATTTTTCTATAAAGTCGATGAAAGACGGAGAAAATTAGCTTAAGACAAAGCTAGAATAACTTACAATTCGGAATGGAGTACTAGATTTGATTTTTTTCTATTAATGGTGCATACTATTTCCCATCAATTTTCGTTAAATTGAAGTTAATACCATTGGCAATTTTAGGCATGTTTTTAAGTGCTAACATGTGTATGATTTATTGTTTTTTCCTTGATCAAGGTTCTTATTGCTAAACTTGCACATACATATCATAATTATGGACATCTGTCATATGTTCACACTGTCTATCTGAAAGATGGATACATGGTGACATTGTTTTGTTCCATAATTCTATACTAAAAATAGTGAATTTATTAATTATAAAATTAACTCTTAAGAACATATTGCTTGAGTCATGAGCATAATTTGCAAATTTAGATAAAAAAAGGGTCACATCTTGTTTTTCTAAGCAATAACACTGAAGTGTTCGCTAATGCAATATATGTTTTACTAATTATAGTATTCCATCTTTCAAATGATTGGTGATGCCAATACTTTTCTATCTTTTTAGCTCCCCACCAAGTCACAACGTTTCTTTTTTTCTTCATAGCAACATCTCCTAGTCATAAAATTTTCAGGCATTATTTCTTCTTACTGATCTAGTCATCTATCCAACACCCTCAATTAGCATATATAACATGCATGACAACCACCAAGTATCCGTGTAGCATCTTCCTAATGCAACAAGATTCTCAACTCCCAAGTCACATACCGGTGCGAGCATATATGCATGTACCAAAAGTAGTCTTGTTAATTTCAGCAATACTTATAAGTCCCATAAGTTAGTGGATACTTGAAGCACGGTTGGAAAATTTTGGATCAAATAAGCTAAGTTATATCACATGTATATGCATTATATATCGTCAACTCGTGCACAATCCAATCCCAATCTCAATTCTCAATTAGGGATGAATCTGGATGTTAACAGATCCGAAAGTTCCGATATATCCGTACTTGGTTTAACGTTAATATGGATATTCGTATTCATATTCATATTCAATTCTAATGTGGATAGCAAATGGATGTATATCCATATTCATTTTCTAACATTTTTCTCCCACATCAGTATTTGAAAAATGTAAGATATTCAATATTATCCATATGTGCGAACAACAAAGTACCCTATAAAGCCATATAAAACTTATATCTATGACTAATTAATAATATAAATGATATCAATTTTAATATAACAAATATATGCATCATTTAAACTATTTAAAGCTTATCTATATGGCCAATAATATTATATTAATTTTATTATTACTAGAAGCATATAAAGGTTAATTTTATATGGCTAATCATATTAATTTTAAGTACTTTAGCTATTCATATATTGATGAATTTATTTTATATATTTTAAACTATTTATCGATAAATATTTATTTATAGTTTTATTGGTTTTTGATATATTTAATTATTGACATATTTATTAAATATGTTAGTTATGAGTTGTTATTATAATCATATTCTCTACGTACATAATGATTTTTTCTACTAAACTATCGACAAGCAAACAGATATATGTTATCTTCAAAATCTAGTAGATATCCGAATACAAATCTGAATTCGAGAAATTCGTTTTGCATTCGTATCCGATAATATCCGTATCCGTATACATATTCAAATTAAAAATGTGGTAAATAGATGCTATCTATATTCAATTTTATATGGATCGTCTGATCCGAACCATCCTAGGCTTAAGTCTTCTCATGATTTGTTCTTATACTTCACTCCTCATCTTTTTGGTCAATTAGGTAAATAATAATTAAGTGGATGAAGGCATTTTTAGTGACGTGAAGAGGTTTTGTTGTGTACACACGTTGTTATTTTTATAGTATGTAGATATTTTTGTATATATTACTCCCTCAGTCCTAACATTTAAGGCGTAACAACTTTTTGATCAAGTTCTATAATACAAAGTATGCTCTCACTGGACACGCGTACATCCATACAAGTATTAGTGTTGATAGAGAAAATTAAATACATCCATTGATCTTTGAATCATAGGTGATTACATCTTATATATTAGGATTGAGGAAGTATTACAAAACATACATATATGCATATGCCTTCCGATCCAAAAGAACATTTCCACGTACCTTGATGATGCCACCAGTGAATCCAAGAGAGCCCAATTTCGGAATCAGATGGTATGGGAACTCCGCTGTCTCCCAGTACTATCATGGTATCCGGAGGAACAACAAATAAAAGCTACTAATCAGCGTGCATCAATACTCCTTTTTTCCAAATTAGCATGATGAACAACATTAAACTAAAAAAATAAAAAAATTTACATATATACTGACTAGACTATATATATGTGTACAACACTGCAAGCTGCCTAACCTTTGGTATTATTGGAGCAACTTCTTTCTCCATAAACTGCCGAATTTTGATTCGTAATTTCTTCTCCTCCGTCGCCAGGAGTTCATCAAACTGGTAGTAGTCTGACACTAGAAACCAGACGAAATGATGTCACTCACGAGTCAATGTAGATTCTCATACAGACGTGGAGAATATTCGAAAACATTATGTGGATGGGTCCAAAATATAACTTACTCTCTCTGTTTTAAATTATATAGCAAAAATTATGTATCTAGAAAAGCCAAAACGTCTTATAATTTGGAAGAGAGGGAGTAGCTCACAACTATTTCTTCATATATTAGCACAAACTCTAACACGTCGATGGTCATGTGCTTGCGACACCGCGCCGTCGCTGGTGTCGCTGCCTCCGCCGGAGGCGGGTTAGGGTTTGGCCATCTACCCCGGCTCTAGATCTCGGCGGTAGGTTGGCCCGGTGGGAGGTGGCGGTGGGTAGTCGGGGCGGCGAGGCGGCGGAGCGCCACCGGCCGTGGTGGTGGAGGCGGCGGTTTGGACCGAGCACCGAGCAGGAGCGAGGGGGAGGGAGTCTCGTCGGTAGCCGGTTGATGGAGGCGACGAATTAGCGAAGGGCAGGGTCGACGGGCGGGGCCACAGGGTGGGCGGTGTGGCGAGGCGGAATGTCGCTGGCATCAGTGGGCGGTGGTGGGAGGCAGCGGCAGGCAGGGTTGCACGCTTGCGTGGGAGCGCGACCCGTTGCGCGATAACTCTATCCATATATTAGCTACACAACATTGCACATAAATAAACACATACAAACCACGTATTGATACCTCTAATATTAAACTATACTCTTATGCTCATGCACTAGTTTTACTTAGGACTTTATCTACCCTAATATTAAACTATACTGTCTCGTCGATATTTAAAGTATCAAAATTTCTTCATCCATCCCTGAATCCTATCTCTCTTCTTTTGTCACTTAATTATTTCAATCCTTCTCACTTCGACGGTTATCTCTCACTCCCATCCATATTTTTTTATGCCTTGGTACATCATCTCTTACTCAGTTTAGAGCTACAAAACTTTGGCAATGTATCAAGTGCAAACCAACATCTCCGTGCAAACCGTGCAAACCAACTGCGGGGGAGAGGTGGGAGGGGGGATTTACAAAAGTGTAATTAGGAGCGGGCGTAATTACACTTTTGCAAATCCCCCCTCCCACCTCTCCCCCGCAGTTGGTTTGCACGGTTTGTACGGAGAGGTTGGTTTGCACTAGATATGTTCCCCAAAACTTTACCAAAACGTTTACTGATACCGCACTACTCATGTCTTGGCCCAGCCGGCCGAACTTAAGTGACGCTACGACTTGCCACGTGGACGTGTATCTTACCTTTTGACCTCTTTCTTAAAATCACAATAAATATGGACAATATCCATTTATTTAAATTGAGTCAATGTTCAATCAATTTCTCATACTAAATTTAATCTTTTATTGCAGCTAGCATTTATTATGAGGCTTAGTATTTGGTTAAAATAAAGTTAACCAAGCGAGATTAAATCCAACAATATCGCTAGCTCTTAGCGACCTCGTAATAACCCCTAACTCCCGCCCCTCTTTTTCATCCCTTGGTTCGTCTATGTGATCTCGTGACTTGGCACATGCACGTGTAGCTAACCTTTCATCTTTCCTATCCTCATAATAAATATAGACAATTCCACTTGTATAAGCTAATAAGTCAACTTGTATAAGCTAAGTCAGTCTCCAGTCATTTTCCATACATGATTATTTTTTATTGTAGCTAACATTTATTATGGGCCTTAGGATTTAATTTAATTAAAAAAAGGTTGAGCCAAGCCCAATTAAACCCAATATGATAGATAGCTCTATGTGACCAGTAATAAACTGTATGTCCCTTTGCAATGCCCAGGCATGCTTTAATATTAAAAGGGGAAAAATTCTTGTTCCGTCCCTTGGTCTATCGTTCTCTCCTTCGAGCATGAGAGTTAAGAGTCGTGGCCAGTTTTATAAATAGTAGGAGTATCTAGTAATTTTATAAGACTAATAGTATCCGATTGCTTAGAGCAAACTTAATTTCTATATACATCCGGCATTCTAAAATAAATACAAGCCAAATTTTCTTAAGTTTAACTAGATTTATAGAAAATATGAACAACATTTGTATCTCCAGTTAAGTTTATTGTAAAAAATATATTTAACAATTCATCTAGTAACACTTATTATGCACCATAAATAGTAGTGATTTCCTTTGTATATACATTTGGTCAAAGTTAAAAGCATTTAACTTATCGGAAAGTAAAAACGACACTTATTTTGGGACCGATGGATTATCTCATAATTGGGTGGATCCTAACAAAAAGCCCTCTTAAATATCTGTGATAGGTGAACTATTGGAGAAGAAAAATCTAAAAAATATATATGAAGTCCTTAGATTTTGAAATTCAAAATTTTAAAATTTTAAATGACCTCGGATAGAGAAACACCCTATATCAAAGTTATATTGCTCAATGAGATCTAAAACTTTATTGTTGATTTTTTTTCATTTAAGATCATCTTGAAGCTAAAATATTCAATACAAAATTCATACTTGTTAATACAAAAGAATAACATGATATCCTTATCACAAGTGACCGTGTGGTGAGGTCGTAAAAGAGGGTGTGTGCGAGGCAAGATGTTGCATGCTCAAATCCCTGCAAATGCACTTATCTAAAACACTTCGTAATGATTTTGAAAACTGGTCCTAAAAACCGATTGACCATCGTCTCAAAATCTTTTCTGTGCTAGTGATATAGGGTGGACAACATGTCACCTCAAATCTGATGGAGAAAAGAAGGGTGATTTAGAATGCCACGGGATATAGGATGTTAGATGGGGAATGGATGGAGACTGATTGCAAAAACCAGTACTAAAAATTGATCGACCATCTCTAAAAATCTTTTGTGTTCTAGTGATATAGGGTGGAGAACATGTCACCCCAAATTTAATGGAGAAAAGAAGGGTGATTTAGAATGCCACGGTATATAGGATGTTAGATAGGGAACCGATGGAGAGTGATGTTTGTTGCAAAAAAAACCTTATTTTTTACTCTAAGAATTAACTGCAGCACTCATTATCCAAAGAAAAACTTTAGCGCTAGTATTGACTACTGTACTTTATACAGGTAACAAATGTAATTTTTAATGTACCTGCTGCTGGAAAGGCTGATGCCGCCGGTGTTAGCTGAGGACAATCCACGGATAGGTCCAACGCCAACGATGATGGCCTGAGCTCTGAATGCTTCACCATGCCCATGGAACAGGGTCCTACAATATCCATGTCTTATATATTGCCATGTGTATAGTGAATTATGGTATTCTACACATGCATGCATGCTACTCTACACAATAATAACCCAGTCGAGTTTCCTTCAAGAAACACATCTACAATATGGAAGACTCTCGATGCATAGCACTTGTGTAATTCATAAAGGAAGAAAATCTGAGAACGACGATGCATGGTTATATGTGTGTGCATGCAAAATTTCAGAGGTACGGTGATCAATTAATCTCACCAAGTTCTTGCACTATCTTCTAGTCGCAATAAGACATGCTGGGGCACGAGCGCAGCGGACGCGGGTAGAGGACTAGAAAGATGGTTTGCTATATGTGTTAGTTGTAGGCAAGTGCAGGATGCAATGCATGCCCAAATAAGAAGAGACTTTATAGAAGTATTCCATGGTCCATGGAGGACTGAGATCACAAGAAACAGCGTAACGGCTTCTGGCTTCACCTATAGTTGTGCATTATTTGTCCGATTATTTAATTTTCTTTAGAATTGGTCGATATATGTTGTCGACAGGACGCGGGGAAATATTATTTTAGATGGTTTGATCTGGTCCTGCAAATCTACTCTTATCAAAGCAGGTTACTTTGGCCGATGCTCAGAGCATCCACGCTAGCAAAGTTAATTTGGTCCGTTTGATTTCCGCTTCCATCGGCTGAGGCCTGTTCCATTTACTGTGCAGCCGTGGCCGCTCCCGTTGGCCTGCCTTCGTTGTTCCTAGTGCCCGTCCCACTAGCCCGCCAGCTTCTTCCCTTGGTCTCTCCGTCTCCTTTTCCGAGTTTGTGTCATCCTCGCCCGCTCCATGCTCTCCGCCGTCGCCGTCGTTGACGCCTCCGTGGGTCCCGTGCTCCTCCGTTTTACTGGGTTTGTTACGTACTAAACAGTTTCAGTTTGTGTCGTAAGCATCTATCTCAAGACGCCGAAGCTGACCCACACGGGGGCTAGCGGCGGCCAGAGAGCCCCACGTCCATTGCAGCCACGAGACCTTCAACTTACTAGTTGTATCATCTCGTAAGTCTGTCCATATGAGATATTTTATCTCCTCTTATATATTATCCTCATCCAATTTTAAAATAAGTATTTGGGACCCTAAACAAATTCAAATGAAAAGGTTCTCAATCACAAAGTTGTAGATATTATCTGAAAGAAAGTGATTGGGGGAATTCTCAATAGTATTGTGATTGTTCAGCGTATATATATATATATATATATATATGCATTGTGGACAGGCCCACTTGCCATATTACAATCCAACACTTCCCCGTAGTCTGAACTAGGAGCACTGCGAACATTAAGACTGGACCTAAACTCCGTGAACACGGACGTCGGCAAACCTTTTGTGAAGATGTCGGCGTACTGTGACGTAGTGGGAACGTGCAGAACGCGGACTTTACCAAGGGCGACTCACTCTCTGACGAAGTGCAGATCGATCTCAATATGCTTAGTTCGCTGATGCTGAACCGGGTTGGTGGAGAGGTAAACAGCGCTGACATTATCACAATAAACCACTATAGTGCGATGTAGTGGACAACGAAGCTCTATCAGGAGCTGGCGCAACCAGCAGGCTTCGGCGACTCCATTCGCGACTGCTCGATATTCCGCCTCTGCACTGGACCGAGACACTGTCGGCTGACGCTTGGACGACCAGGAGATGAGATTGTCCCCAAGGAACACCACATAACCCGAGGTGGATTTGCGTGTGTCAGGACAACCCGCTCAATCTGCATCGGTGTAGACAGTGAGATCAGCTGGAGAGGTCCGGTGAAGGTGCAGGCCGAGATCCAGAGTACCCTGAAGATACCGAAGGATGCGCTTTAGAGCGCTCAGATGAGGTTCCCGGGGGTCATGCATATACAGGCAGACCTACTGAACTGCGTAGGCGATATCTGGCCTGGTGAAGGTGAGGTACTGAAGAGCCCCAGCAAGACTGCGGTACTGGCTAGTATCTAAGACAGGGACACCATCAGCAGGGAGCTTTGAGTGAGTGTCCACAGGAGTACTGCTCGCCTTGCAGTTACTCATACCGGCTCGCTCCAGAATCTCCAGCATATACTGTAGTTGAGAGAGAAAAAGACTATCACCTCGTCGCTGAACATTGACACCCAGAAAATGATGAAGAGGCCCCATATCTGTCATAGAAAATTCCTGACGAAGCGCTGCGATAATCCAATGAAGAAGACTCGGAGAAGACGCACTGAGAACAATATCATCAACATACAGTAGAAGAAAAGCCATATCAGCACCTTTGCAGTAGATGAACAGTGACGTGTCGGACTTGGCCACAACAAACCCAAGGGAGGTGATGTGAGAGGCGAAGCGACTATGCCAGGCGCGAGGAGCTTGCTTCAATCCGTAGAGTGACTTGTTCAAGCGACAGGCATGATTGGGCTTGGTCGAGTCGACAAACCCAGTAGGCTGGACGCAGTAGACTGTCTCATTCAGGGTGCCATGGAGAAAAGCATTCTTCACATCAAGCTGGTGAATCGGCCAGGAGCGAGACAGAGCCAGAGTGAGAACCATTCTGATGGTGGCTGGCTTAACAACTGGACTGAAAGTTTCATCATAGTCAATGCCCGGACGTTGTGTGAAACCACGAAGAACCCAGCGAGCTTTATAGCGATCAAGAGAGCCATCGGACTTGAACTTGTGACGAAAAACCCACTTGCCGGTGACGAGGTTGACGCCGGGGGGCGAGGCACTAAGGTCCAGGTGTCGTTGTCCTGCAGGGCGTCGAACTCGGCCTGCATAGCCTGACGCCAGGCCGGGTCCGAGAGGGCGGTGCGGACGGAGGACGGTACTGGCGAGGGGGCCGCGACCGTCGTGGTGAGGTTGAGACGGTCCACGGGCTGCCGAAAACCGTCCTTGCCACGAGTGCGCATGCCGTGCGCGTTGGTGACGGGGGTGATCGCCGCTGGAGCCGTGGCGACGGTGCGGCCGGTGGTCCGTTTGGCGCCGCTAGCAGCAACCTGGGACGTGGAGTCCGCAGGGGCAGCAGCACCAGCTGGACCAGTGGAAGGGCCGGTGAGATCAGCCTGACCGCCGTGGCCGCCCGGGCCGCTCTGGCCGTGGCCGGCTGTACCGCCGGTGGAGAAGCTGCTGGCTGGGCTACCGCCGTGCTCGCCCTGGTTGCTGGCCGAGGCAGTAGAGGGGGAGACGCCGGGTGTCCCAGGTACGGCATCCAAGCCGCCAGGGAGTCGTGTACCTGCAGTCACAGCTCTTGGCCAAATAGGCGAAGAGGAATCATCAACATCGTCCAGAAACGCAAGTGTGTTAGGATCCTGGGGGGAAGTGGACATCTCAGAGAACAGAAACAACGTCTCGTCGAACACAACATGACGAGAGACGATGATCCAGTTGGAATGAAGGTTGAGACATCTGTATCCTTTATGGTCGGAGGAATACCCGAGGAAAACACACAGGGAGGAGCGAGGTGATAGTTTATGTGGAGCTGTGGAGGACAGGTTAGGATAGCAGGCACAACCAAAAACTCAAAGGTGAGTGTAGGAGGGTTGTGTGTTGTAAAGAGCGAAGTGAGGAGTCTGGCCGTCTAGGGTTTTAGTGGGTTGACGATTGAGGAGATTGGTGGCGGTGTGAAGAGAGTCAGCCCAATAAACCAGAGGGAGACTGGCCTAAAACAGAAGGGACCGCACAATGTTGTTTATTGTGCGAAGAATGCGCTCGGCACGTCCATTCTGTTGAGAGGTGTATGGGCACGACATCCGGAGAATGACTCCATGAGTGAGGAAGAATGTGCGGGCCGAGGAGTGATCAAACTCGCGGCCATTGTCGCACTGAACTGCCTTGATGGAGGAGCCAAACTGCGTGCGCACATGAGAAAAAAAGTTAGAGATGACGCTGAAAGTGTCAGACTTGAGGCGTAAAGGAAAAGTCCAGGTGTAGTGAGTGCAATCATCAAGAATGACTAAATAATATTTATAGCCCGAGACACTAACAACTGGAGAGGTCCAAAGATCACAATGTATTAAATCAAAAGAATGAGCAGCACGTGAGTTTGACACACTAAATGGTAGGCGCACATGGCGACCTAGCTGACAAGCATGACAAATATGATCAACTTGGTGCTTATTACATGAAATTGCTTTGGAACTAATAAGTTTGGATAAAGCCGCGTGTCCGAGATGACCAAGGCGACGATGCCAAAGTGAAGAGGACGACGCGGTGGTAGCGAGGGTAGTGGTGGTGCTGGATGATGTGGGAAAGAACGGGTAGAGGTCACCCGTGCTATTGCACCTGGCGATCACGCTCCGTGTCTGAAGGTCCTTCACAGAAAGGCCAAATGGGTCAAATTCAATGGAACAATTATTATCAGTAGTGAAACAACGTACAGAGATTAAATTCTTAATAATGTTTGGTGAGACTAAAACATTAGAATTAACAAGAGGACGTCGTGCTGCAGAGAAAGAATGTGACCCAATAGATGTAACGGGAAGCGAAGCTCCGTTACCCACAATGATAGATGAAGGACTAGATGACGATGGAGGGTGAAGGCTAGAGAGTATACTAGCGTTGTTGACCATATGAGCACCGGCACCGGAGTCATCATACCATTCGCCTGAAGGAGGAGGCGTCAGCGTCATGGTGTTGAAGTTGCTGACGAGGCTGGACGGGTCCCAGGACATGCCCTGCATGGGCATCCAGGGTTGCTGCTGTTGTGGTGGTGGCGGTGCGTCGTAGCCGAAACCTAGAGGAGGCCTAAGGGTGTACGGCTGCTGCACGTACTGCTGCTGGGCGGTGAAGGCAGCCGGTGGAGAACGGAACGGCGTCCCGGAGGCGTTCGGTGGGCATGGCCAAAATTGAACGTGGCCTGCCCACGGGTTGTAGAACGGCGCCGGGGGGTGAGGGCCGATGTTGGTGTTGCTGGTTGACTGCTGCTGGTTGCGGCCGCGTCCACCGCGGCGGCGGCCAGTCCGCTGCGAGCCGCCCTGGCCGGGCTGGCCACCGTG